TGAAAAAAAAAAAAAAAAAAAGAGAGATACAAATGAACTTATTTACAAAAGAGGAACAGATTTAGATATGAAAAACAAACTTATGGTTACCAAAGGGTAAGTGTGTGGGGGGAGGGATAAACTGGGAGCCTGGGATGAACACACAAACACTAACATATATAAGAAGATAACCAACAAGGACCTACTGTATAGCACAGGGAAGTCCACTCAATATTCTGTGATAACCTATATGGGAAAAGAAACTAAAAAGGAATGAATATATGTATATGTATAACTGAATCACTTTGCTGTACACCTGAAACTAACAAAACATTGTAAATCAACTATACTCCAACAAAATTAAAATAAAAAAAGAAAACCATCAAGCCACAAAGAGACTAAAAGTTGAAAAGAGAAGAACTACAAAAACCACCAGAAAAAAAGTAACAAATTGGCAATAACTATATACCTATCACTTTAAATGTCACTTTAAATATCACTTTAAATGTCAAAGGTCTAATGCTTCAATCATAAAAAAAACAAAACGAGACCCATCTACATGCTGCCTACAGAGACTCAGTTCAGAGCTAAACACACACATGGACTGGGAGTGAGGGGATAGAAAAAGATATTCAGTGTAGATGGAAATGAAAAGAAAGCTGGGGTAGCAATACTCACATTAGAAAAAAATTAGACTTAAAGTCTATAATAAGATACAAATAAGGGAATTATATAATGATATAGGGATCAATACAGGAAGATTCTGTAACATTTGTAAACATATATGTACCTAATATAGGAGCACCTAAAATATAAAGCAAATATTAACAGACGGGGATAAATTGACAACAATACAATAACAGTAGGGGACTTTAAAACCCCACTTACATCAATGGACATATCACCCAGACAGAAAATCAATATGGAAACAATGATCTTAAATGACACATTAGTCCAGCTGGACTTAATAGGTATCTACAGGACATTCCATCCAAAACACCAGAATACACATTCTTTCCAAGTGCACATGGAACACCCTGAAGCATAGATCACATGATAGGCAAAAAAAAAAGTCTCAACAAAGTTAAGACAGTAGAAAGTATGCAAGCATCTTTTCCAACCTAAAGGGTATGAAACTAGAAATCAATTACAGGAAGAAAAATGTAAAAAACACAAAAAAGTGGAGATTTTTTTTAAGAAATGGGTCAAAGAAAAAACCAAAGAGGAAATCAGAAAATATCTTGAGACAAATGAAATTAAAACACAACTTACAGGAGAGTAAATCCAAATGGTTAACAAACACAAGAAAAATCAGTAACACTCACTGGTAGTAAGGAAAATGTAGAATAAGCTAAACAAAGACACCACTTTGTACCCACCAGAGGCAGAAAGTGTTTTTTCATTTTTTTTAATTGAAGTATAGTTGATTTAAAACATTGTGTTAATTACTACTGTAAATTACTACTGTACAGCAAAGTGACTCAGTTTTATATATATATATATATATATATATATATATATATATATATATATACACACAATTTTTATATTCTTTTCCATTACGGTTTATCATAGGATATTGAATATAGTTCTCTGTGCTACACAGTAGAACCTTGTTGTTTATCCATTCTACATATAATAGTTTACATCTGCTAATCCCAACCTCCCACTCCATCCCTCCCCCAATCCACTCTCCCTTGGCAACCACAAGTCTGTTCTCTATGTCCGTGAGTCTGTTTCTGTTTTGTAGATAGGTTCATTTGTGTCATATTTTAGATTCCACACGTAAGTGATATCATATAGTATTTTTCTCTTTCTTTCTGACTTCCCTTAGTATGATAATCTCTAGTTGCATCCATGTTGCTGCAAGTGGCATTATTTTGTTCTTTTTTATTGATGAGTAGTATTCCATTATATATGTACCACATCTTCTTTATCCATTCCTCTGTCAATGGACATTTAGGTTGTTTCCATGTCTTGGCTATTGTGAATAGTGCTTCTATGAACATAGGGGTGCATGTATCTCTTTGAATTAGAGTTTTGTCTGGATATATGCCCAGAAATGGGATTACTGAATCATATGGTAATTCTATGTTTAGTCTTCTGAGGAACCTGCATACTGTTTTCCACAGTAGCTGTACCAACTTACATTCCCACCAACAGTGTAGGAGGATGAGTAATTCATTTTAAAGAAGTGTCACCATTGTGTTCTCTTGGCTGTGTAATTTTAGTTTCAGTTTTCTCTATCTTTACTGTAAAGAGAACCTATTCTTGGAAAACTACATCTTAAAAAAAAAAAGCCATAATGTAATAAGGAAGAATAGTGTGAAAACCATTCTATAATGTAGTCATTCCAATGTAATGTACTATTGAAATGTATTTTAAGTACTGACAAGCTGGATGACAGCACTGCATTGTCTTTTAATATACTGAACACTAACTCCTTTTTTTTCCTTTTGACCATCATAAAGAACAACATGGCTGCTTCTCTTGCTTCAGCTTCTTGTATGAGATTATAAGATCACATGATGCCTGTAAGTGACCACAGACCTGCAGAAACCCTGAAAACCTTTACCAAATGCAATCTTTTTTTTTTTTTTTTTTTTGCTGTTCGCTCTCACCTCTGCGGCCCCTCGCGCTGCGGAGCACAGGCTCTGGACGCGCAGGCTCAGCGGCCATGGCTCATGGGCCCAGCCGCTCCGTGGTATGTGGGATCTTCCCGGACCGGGGCACGAACCCGTGTGCCCTGCATCAGCAGGCGGACTCTCAACCACTGTGCCACCAGGGAAGCCCCCAAATGCAATCTTAATTGCATTTTGAAAGAGCCATTTTCAAGGTGTTTTATCCTTTCTTTCAACTATGAACATATTCCACAGTCTCCAAATGTGGACTGTTTCTTTATCAGTCCCTTAGAGATCAGATAAAGTAGAGATGCAGGAAAATCTTCCTTAAAAATGACTCATTAGGAATACGAAGAAGAAAGAACACTATCATTGTGAATGCACATAAAAGACTGGGTAAGAAAAATGGAGCTAGGGGGTGAAGAGATGCTATGTTTCTAAATTCTTCATGTGCTTGCTTTTTTCTTTTTTTCTTTTTTTTCTATTTCAGAGGCACTGACTCTGGATACCAGAGATTTTCTTTCATGGCTACTGAAACAAGACACTAATATGTTCGAAGAACCCTGGGGGTTTAGAGAAAGCCAGTGACTGTAATAACTAAATGATGGTTTAGGACGTTAGCCATGATTAAATTCATTATTTTAATTCAAAGATTCAAAAGTTCCCATAAAATAAAAATGTTCTTTCTGGTCACCTATCTTTATGGTTTTTGTTGTTTCAGGCGCTTTCTGATTTCCTTAAGGCAGTAGATGTTCCTAGTAATAAATGTTTGCCAGGAATATAAACTTTCAGTTTCTTCATGTGATGAATAGTGAGGCTTTTGTAGTTTTATTTTTCATCAGATTACAAGTAAAGAAAGTAGAAAATGAAACTATTCTAAAAGTGGAAGTCATTTCTTGCTGCCTATGAGGTGAGTTGTGGTCATTGGCTATGGCAACCTCTCTAATAAATAGATGATCTGAAACTACTCAAGAGACTGAGAAGTGCCAGAAGAGCAGGCTGTAAGAATGGCACCTGGCAAGTCATCTCCTGTGGAAAAGTCTTGGAACATCTTTGAAGAATACCACATAGATGAAGATGTGGGCTTTGCTCTGCCCAATCCATTGGTAAGAGACGGCACTGAAATCTGGGCAAAAATATTTTCTTATCATGATTTACCTGGACAAGTTAACTTCTATTGAACAAATGTGGTTCAGTCATTTCTATTGAACAAGTGGATAAAGCAGTACCAAAATTGGAGGCAGAGTTTGAAAAAAGGGGTCTCAACTTTCTTAAAATTTTCTACCAAGAAACTTAGCCTTAGAGGCACTTCTTACTTATCTTACACAGGCACGGGGTGTGATGAGTTAAGGAAACTACAGAAGTATTTTGGTTTAAGGCAGCTGCATTTCAGAAGGTATTTTGAAAAAAAAAAAAGTAATAAATGACCCTTGAGTCAAAGAACCCCCTTTCTCAGCTGATATACCTTAGATTGTATAAAGTGAGTACTGACAAGCTGGATGACAGCACTGCATTGTCTTTTAATATACTGAACACTAACTCCTTTTTTTTCCTTTTGACCATCATAAGGAACAACATGGCTTTGATAATGTTTTTGAGGTGGGGCACCAAGCAACTTTGTGTTGTATTACTATTGCTCGGTGTTTACTGAGCCTAAGATTCAGGCTGAGAGAGAATTAGAGCTACCTTTTTATTTCTATAAGTTTTGCCTACAAAGGGCAAGGCATTAGAGTGAATGTGTGCCTTAAAACTATATTTTCCTAAGTTATCTTCCCAAGAGTGTCATGAAAAGCATCTTATCATTAATATTGTAATCATCAAACACTTAACATGGCATTTTTTTTAGCAAATTTACAAATGTTAGCTGACTCCATCTTTACAATCATCCTGAAAGGTATGTATGTTATTAATCTTGTTTTCCTGATGAGAAATGTAGAATGCAGAATTTAAGTAATTATCCAGACTCACACAGCTAGTAATAGCAGAGATAGGATGTGAGCCTAATCAGTCTGGTTCCAGAGTCTGTGATCTTTTTTTTTTTTTTTTTAACATCTTTATTGGAGTATAATTGCTTTACAATGGTGTGTTAGTTGCTGCTGTATAACAAAGTGAATCAGCTATACATATACATATATCCCCATATTTCCTCCCTCTTGCGTCTCCCTCCCAGCCTCCCTATCCCACCCCTCCAGGTGGTCACAGGTGATCTCTCTGCGCTATGCAGCTGCTTCCCACTAGCTATCTAGTTTACATTTGGTAGTGTATATATATCCATGCCACTCTCTCACTTCGTCCCAGCTTACCCTTCCCCATGTTCTCAAGTCCATCCTCTATGTCTGCGTCTTTATTCCTGTCCTGCCCCAGGTTCTTCAGAACCTTTTTTTTTTTTTTCTTAGATTCCATATATATGTGTTAGCATACAGTATTTTTTTTTCTCTTTCTGACTTACTTCGCTCTGTGTTACAGCAGAGTCTGTGATCTTAAAACTGTTATCAATTATGCTACGTAGCCTCACTCAAGAGAAGGAGAGATCACAAGGCATTTTTTGTTGGTCTTTTTCCCTACTCTTGGGTTTAACAATGTACATGAGATTCCAGGAGAGGATTTCTAGGAACCAGTTACATGTTGTGACAATGCTGTATACCAGGATGTCTCTATTTGTGGCTCAAATGGATGAGTGCACACTCTAGAGGGAACTTTTAAAGGCAGCGTATATATAATTTACTCAGAGATTCCAATCTAACTGTACTTAGAAATCACATCCTGTAACTACCTTGGGTAATTCAGGCAAATCTCAAACAATTTTTTTTTCCCAATCTAATCTTCCTCTTTGCATAATTTGGTTAATTGAAGAAAATGAAGTATGTTTTAATTTTTTTGCTAAAAGCACTGGTTTACTTTATATTTGCAAATCAATAATATTCAGACTTAATTCCCCTTCACACAAGCACACAAGTGCCATAGTGCCAGGACTGGATGTTTCAAGGATGTATTTATCAATGGTACCAAAAAAAAACTTTTTCAGAAACTGCAAAGCCTCATATCAAATTTATTCTTTTTTTCCTAAAAAGTTGGTTCTTTTAGAAAATAAAAAAAAAAATCACAGTAATTATGTAGACCTCTAAAACAGATTCCAAGGGTTAAAGCAAAACCCGAAAACTAAAGCAAAACAAAACTCTGAGCTACTTAAAAAATAATGCTGCTACTTGAGATGCTTAGGAAGTTAGATTCAATATCCTGAAACAGGATGAAAAAAAAAAAAGAGGTTACTTTTATTTCCTCACTGAAGATCTTTCCTGGAAACTATGTATTCAAAAATGTCTATTTCATCTCTTATAATCTATCAGCTTCCTATTCTAAAGGAAAATATTATGTCTTCTGATTCCATGTAGATGCAAAATACATTCTCTAATCTAGCAGGAGTTGAATGGCCCTCTGTGTAACTCTTTATTAATTTATATTCTATCATTTAGGCATCCTCTGAACCAGAAGGATATTACTGATTGAATTTTACATGTGTTGAAAGTTCTGTCCAATAAGACACTAATCTTGACACATAATAAAGTATCTCTGTTATTTTGGGGAAATAGCAATAATCAAAAAGTTGGGCATGCTACACGGTGAAATACACAACAAAGAAAATGTATATGTATTACTAAAAACACCAGAGCACAGTATTTGTGTGGTTAGGGAGAAAAATTCAGAGCAAACAAGAAAGGTGACTATCTAGTGAATAGACTGCCTGGATCTTTCATTCCTAAAAATCTGCCCTGACAGATTAAGTCTGGCCAATTATCTGCAGCCCCTGAACATGTTTGAAGTTTATGTTACATTTGTCTTCGTGTTTTATAGCTTCTTTATAATATTAACTTGGTTTTGAAGCTTAAAGCCTCACTCACCTTGGTTTCAGGTAAACTCTTGATGTGCCCTCCGTCCCCATAGTTCAGTATTGGTGCTGCTAAGAGCATGTCTGGAAGCAGCTTAATGAAGAAGACCTAGGGGAGTTGTTCAGGGATCTGAATCTCATTTCAGGGTGTGGCCTAGGCCTTTGGTTTTTATGTTTTCCCTTGAGATATGATTATACATATAAGATCCAGGGAGACACGTGTTAAAAAAACAAAACCCAACTGAGTAAATTTTAAAGATGTCATTGGCTTCCTTCAGGGAATCATGAATCAGGCAGCATCCCAATTAGCAGAAAGAAAGGAGGTCTCAGGAGCTGCACGGAAATGAAAGACTTCTCTAGGCAGAAGAGAGCAGCAACAAGGAAGTTACACCAGCAAAAAGTGGATTGGGGTGTCAAGGTCATGGTCCTTTAGGGAATGGCAGTGGCCTATGAGCAGATGACCTCATTACTTGTTGGCCAGGTAATTCTGGATTGACTGGTTTAGGATTCCATTTTGGGAGAGGCAGAAACTGTAATAAGCATTGTCTTGATTTGGTGACATGGGGCTTAAGTTACTCCATTTTGGGCCTGTTGTCTTGTTTTTAACACTCTTTTATTTGCATTTCATTTTTACTTAGTGGGCAAAAAATTAGCCTGTAGTACCAAAGGAAGCAATCAACATGTATATATACAGGATTAAAAGCATGATAAAATCCTTGCCATCAGGTAGTGAGACGTAAAAAGGGCAATATTTTTTAAAAGCTGGAAGCCCTCATGTTTGAATCACAATAAACTGTATGTACAAAACTGTTGCGGTCCCGCACACACCTGCGAACTCCCCCGGAGAGGAACCAGCACCAAGGAAGAATAGCAAGAGCCAGTGTAGATCAAAAGCATATTAATAATAGGCGTTTATTAAGCACAGAAACACAAACCGATCGATCGGGGCCTCTCCCAAAAGGAGGGTGAGACCCCGAGACTTCACACAGGAGCTGTTTTATATCCCAGGGTAAACAGGTTGTTTGTGCTAATTTTAACATCTCGGGTCGGCCACCTGGAACTTCAGAACTTTCCTGTTCACGTTATGCTGGCAAGCAAAGCTCAATTTCACAGAAGCCAAGTCAAGCGATTAGCAATAAAAGCAGTTACAGAACAAACAGTTTCAAATCAAAGCATTCCATCATTGATTCTAGGCATTATAATCTAAATTATAAGTTCTGGGACAATGTGTCTCACCACAAAACAAGTTACAAAAGCTGCCCAACACTTGCTTTTCTTATTTATGACATGGAGATAACAATCAACTTTGGGGGCCATTATTATAATTAAATGAGAAATTACTGAGTAAAACTGCCTAGTCTCCTACTGACATTTAATACATCTCATTTCTCTTCCATTCAAAAAACCTTAAAATCTAGCTGAGAAGAGAAAAAAATAATAGCAGATAGCAATAAATTACTTAATGTGAAAAGGTATAATCCATAGGATTCCTCACTGGAGGTATAAGAATAGAATGGAATAGTCAGGAAGATTTCAGTGAAACTTTTGAAGTTGACCTCTGAAAAAAAAAGTAGATGAGAGGGAGAAGCAGGGCACAGAGAAGGTCCTGAGCCCTGAGTGTGCAGATGACAGTGCATGGGCTGGTGTCACTCGACAGATAAGAGAGTGTCAGCATTGCACAGGCCTGCGGAAGAGACAAGACAGACCATCCGCGGAGGCAAAACTATTTTATAATACCTTCCACTAGTAACTCAAAGTCCTATTTCTTCTTTGCAAGGAGGAGCTACCTCACCCTTATGATGCCTGGATTTCCATTGCTAAAAATCTGCCTGAACTGATTAAGAATGGCCAACTACGTGCCGAAGTTGAGAAGGTTTGAAAAAATATGACGTTTTCTGTTTTAGCGTCTTCAAAGTGTTAACTTGGTTTTGCAGCTATCACAACATGCATTTTGAGTTGGGTCAACCTCTCTGTTTATTCTCAGTTAGCAACCTTCAGCATTGATGGCCTCCAAGAATACAAGTCACAGCGCCTTGCACATCTGGTTCTGGGGTATATCACCATGGCGTACGTGTGGGGTGAAGGTGATGGAGACGTCCGGAAGGTTTGGAGATTTTCTCATATTTCTGATGCTAACATGACAGATTTATATGCAGTTTACAGTTAATGTAAAAAATTCTAAAAGTATTGTAACTGCATTTTGTGAAGCTTGGGAAACAGAATGAGTACCTTGCACAGAGGAGCTGCCTAACGAATATTTGTGAGATGGATGGATGCGTGAGCGAATGGCTGCAAATGGTTCACAGGCCATTAGAAAGTCAAGATACAGCCTTTGTTTCCTCTCACTCTCTACTGTTTTGTTCTCTCTATGCCCAGATTATGTCTGCATCGTCACAAATCTAAAACATAAGGGTTTAACAAGCACTGGGATTAAGTTATGAAATGAGGAAGAGAAAATGACATTTGTTTGGTTTCACAGTGCCCTTAGGTATAACAGTTAATGTTTTGACACCCAGAAAGCAGAAGAAAAGCTGAGACATTTCAAATGTGAATACTAAATATCGTGTTTTAATTAGGTCTTGCCAAGCAACATTGCTGTTCCTTACTGCAAGGTATCTGAGAAGCTAGGACTGCCCCCTATTCTGGTTTATGCAGATTGTGTCTTGGCAAACTGGAAGAAAAAGGATCCCAGTGGGTATGTAAACAGTGATTATAACAGGAATGAAAGGAGTGCACACTATTTGAATCAAGGGGAGTTAGTCATTGGTTTAATCTTTGGCAGCGGGGCTTTCTTTTCTGCTGTTAGGGTGTAAAATGCATATGCATGTGAGAGAGAGGTGTCTAATTAGCATACAGTGAAGTGCACACAACTTAAGTGTTCAGTTTGATTAATTTGACTGGCTGGATAGATGGCAATGTCTGGGCTTTCAAAGGAGCCTGCTTGAAACTAGGCACTTCCTAAGCACTGAGTGATGGAACCTGCTGCAATTAAGGGTCAGAGGCTCTCAGTGTGTATCTTCAGAGGAGTATTCTAGATGTGGGAATACCACAAAATGAAATTATTTGATCTAGAAAACTTTCTTGTGAGTAACAACTAGTTTTGAGTCTCCACGTGTGCTCCTTGCATATTTAATTTTTTATTTCACTTATAAAAGTCCTAAATTAGGTGTTTGTGATGCCTACTTGATAAATATCAGAAAACATATTTTTTCTATTTTTTATCTGTTGTTTTTACCTTTGCTAGATCAGTAGTATTAAATGGAATAACAATAACTCAAAAGCATTTAATTTTTACACTGGTTTCCTTTCTCTCTTCCAACTGATCTGCTGCTTCATGGCTGTTTTCCTAAGGCCCATGACTTATGAGTGAGTATTCGATCTTTTTTATTCTAAGAATTATTTGTTATTCAAAGTAAACATAGGTGTATCAATACCCTCCAAATGTGTTCTTTTGAAACACCAATTGATTTTAGGCAAAAAGTAATTCAAATAATTGTTGAAAGAGCAGGTAGTTCTGGTCCTTAATTATATCTATGACTGTGATGAGACTGTGTCTGTTTGGTATTATAGCTACTAATATATATACTTGCATATGCAGATGATACCCCACTTAAGGATGGTTTGACTTAAGATTTTTTTGATTTTAAGATGGTGCAAAAGCAGTACGTATTCACTAGAAACCGCACTTTGAATTTTGGTCTTTTCCTGAGATAAATACGCAGTACATAGTCTCTTGCGATGCTGGGCAATGGTCACGGCTCCCCAGCAGCCCCGTGATCACAAGGGTAAACAACTGGTACAATTACAACCATTCTGCACCCAGACAACCATTCTGTTTTTCACTTTGATTATTCAGTAAATTATGTGAGATATTCCACACTCTATTATAGAATAGGCTTTGCGTTTTATGACTTTGTCCAACAGTAGGCTAATGTAAGTGTGCTGAGCACATTTAAGGTGGGCTAGGCTAAGCTATGGTGTTTGGTAGGTTAGGTGTACTAAATGAATTTTCAACTGAAAATATTTTCACCTTAAGATGGGTTTATTGAGATGTAACACCATCATAAGTTGAGGAAGATCTGTCAATAAATTTAATTAATATGCATAGATACAAAATGCACATACACCTATGTATCTATGACTCAATGACTCCAGAGGCCAGAAATATAAATCTATTCTTTTTGACCCAATTCTTACTATTTTTGGCCTGTGTACTAAGTAGAGGCTAAGAGCTAAGGAAACAAAAGTCAGTATCATTGGAATAAGCCTGCCCTGATGAACCTGGGCTAATGTGGAGGAAAGAAGATATACGAAAATTGTGTAAATTACTACATGATTAAGAGAAGGGTTAAGAAAGTAAAGTGCTAAGAGTTCTAACCAAACAAAGCATGAGGGAAGAATCCTTATAACAAGTTATTGAAGCTGAGTCCTGAAGAGTGACTAGGCATCAGTTAGAAGAAGGAAAACCTGAGCATGTTCACAGTGGAGAAAACAGCAAGAGTGAGGGCTTTGAAGTAACAAAAATCTTGGTGCATTTCAGAACCCAAGGAAGGCTAGTGTCGCTGATAAATAATGAATGACGCAAGTAACAGTACAGGAAACGGATGAAAAAATAAACTTAAAAATATTATGTAGGACTTTTGGCTCTGATATGGGGTTTAAACAGTATCTTAAATGGGAAGTTATGGAAGGTTTTCAAATGGGAGAATGATATCACCAGTCCCATCTGACAGATGAGAACACTGAGGCTGAAACTGATGAAGTACTCTTATTCAAGGTCACACAGCAAGTAAGGAAGTGGTCTGGGTTGAGACCATAAATTTAACTGCCATGAAACTCAGAGATATACAGATACTGAGACCATGTTTGCATCAATGCAAAACTTCAGTGAAAAAGAAAATAGGGGGTAATCGGTTATTTGAATTTCCCAGTCAATTCTTTTGTTAGGCAGATAAATCACTGAGAAATTGAATCAGGCTCACAGATAAAAATATGGATATGAATACACTTATTTAAGCCAAAATTCTACTTTTAAAAACCATACCTCACAGATATCTCTATAAACATTGAGCTTATATATATATGTGTGTGTGTGTGTATATATATACAGTAATACATGTGCATGTGAAAAGTTGATGGGATAATAGAGAAAGGACTAGTCTTAAAGTTTTTAGTTTCAAGTTCTAGAAAGGAATTTCAAGTCTCAGCTTAATCTACTGTTAATTATATGACCTTAGACAATAGACCTAACACTACTACTCCTAACTACATAATGGATATAGTAAAACCTGCCATACTTATCTCACAAGATTATTTTGAAAATGTAGGATAAATAAAAAGACTTGAAAACTAATAAATATTCAACAAATATATCAATATTTTCGTGAAATTCTTTTCAGTGTTTCTGTTTTATATTTTTCTAAATTCTTGACTTCCTGGATGACTTTTCTTAGGAACATGGACATCCTATTCTCATTTCCTGGCGGGGACTGTGGTAAAGGGTTCTTCCTGGTCTCTCTGGTGGTGGAAACAGCAGCTGCTTCTGCAATCAAAGTATGTCAGTCTATCCTGGAAAATGTGTATCTTGATTCACAAAAGCAGAGCAATCACTTAGTAGCTGAACTATATTCTGCATGAAATAACTTTATCCTGACTGAATAGAGCATTTGATGACTGAATTGGAGACAAGGGATCATCTGGAAGAAATAAATGTTTTATTTGGTTTTGTGTACTACCTAAAAGATAAAATGTAGGAACCATATGTTTAGAATAAAATTTGAAACCCCAGTAAGAGAGAAGTGTTTTCAATGAAACTTGGCATTGGAGCTCTATCACACAGTGACATAAATCTAATGGTTTTGTCCCTCAGAAACAGAAATATATAGAATTATATAAACTTATCTCTAAGTGGTAAGTGAATAAAGACAAATCCAAGCTTAATTAAATATATGGAAATCAGTCAAACAATCAGAGGGTACTCAGCCCAAGAAAGAAATGGAAATATGAAATTTAATTGGGGGATTAAGATTTAGGAGAATTTTATTCTATGCCAATATTTAGTGTTAGGAAATCTTAAGTGTTTGTTTTCTTTTTTTTAAAGGTGATCCCCATTATATTTAATGCAATACAACGTGAAGACCCAGACGCTTTGCAAAAGGCATTGCTTGATATAACTTCTTGTCTGCACAAAGCCCTTGAAATGTTTCACCAAATTCATGGCAAGTATTGTATGCCTTACAACATGCCAGGCCACAGTCAAATGTTTCTAGTTATCTAAGATGTAGAGAAAACAGAAGCAAAACCAACTCTCACATAGTGGGTGTGTTTGCGCTTTATTTTATCTCACTAAATCATTATACTTTCCATATGGCAGGTTTTATTATGTCCATTTTACGTATAAGGGAGTCTAAATTTAGAAGGATAAGATAAATGACCCAAGATTACATAAGTAGTAAATAGTGAAGCCAGAATTCCAAGCTAGGGCTATTTACCTCTAAGGAACATCCTTGTCTCTCACTAAAAAGTGTGGAGAAACTTACCAAAAGTACAGGATGTTTTAAGTTCTGAAAAACTTAGCTTTTGCTTGATAGGAACCATCTGCGAATTCTGCTTTTTCACAAGCTAACTAAAAAAGGAAAAAAAAAGAAAAACAGAAAAGCCATTGAGCTCAAAGGTTATTGCAAATTAACAGCTAAAAGCCAACAATAACCAAAAGAGTATAGAAACAAAGATTTGCAAAAGGAAATGTGCCCTACTGGGATGTTGCTAACAAATGTGTGACTGTATCACTGGGCTTTGGCAAGAAGATAGACCTTCAAACCAAAGACAGTAGCAACCTTTGGGGAGGGACACCCGTTGTCCACAGGGCTCCTGGAGGTTTTGTTTTCAGCTTTCTTTTTGTTTCGGCTTGTTGCTTTCTTTATGTAAGTAATTTATCTGTTGTATCAGATAAATTTATCTGTTGTATTTTATCTGTTGTATCAGTAAACACACAAAGTAGCCTTAAGTAAATATTGGCAGCCTAATAGGTCTCCTGAGGATGAGTGGTGGCAGGCCCAGGCTCTTTGTTACAAGCTGTGTGTTAGCCCCAAGGTAGACCCCGTTCAGTGGACACAGGTGATGAGAATGGGCAAGTGAGGGAGAGCTTGTCCTCAGGGAATTTCTCTGCACAGGCCGACCTAATGCCTTTCTCATACCCTATGCTGAAATCCATGATCAGTTGTTTATAACACCTTGATTTTTCCCAATCTATCTGATGCTACTTAATTAAACATATCTCATCTTTTTTTTCAGAATATGTGGACCCAAACCTATTTTTCAATGTTCTTCGCATATACTTGTCTGGGTATGTAGCCTTATGCTTGAATCTGTTTTCTCTTAGACAATTAACGTAAAGAAGACAACGTTTCCACTGATGGTCCCTATTATCAGTGCCGTTTCAGAATCAATTGATATCCTAAAATACACATTGTAAGAAACAACAGACTATTCTCTGGGTTATTACTTGGCCAGGCATATGCTGGAGTATGGACAGGAAAGCTAGTCATTTTAAAGAGAGTGGAATAATCTTTGGTAGTGCGGACGTAAGGTTTCACGCATAGAATACTTATGCCAGATTTACTCAGAACCGTATTATTTATTATTCTCATGCATGAACATGAATAGAAGGGAGAATGTGGCAGAAGTATAATGAAATCTATCTCATTTCACCTTCCATTCATCCTCTATTGCAAGATTTGACATATGAAAATTTGGCAATTCATAAAATAACAATTATTCTTTCCTTCCTGGTTTAGTTGGAAAGGCAGCCCTTTGCTGTCAGAGGGTCTGCTGTATGAAGGTGTCTGGGACACCCCAAAGAAGTTTGCCGGAGGCAGTGCAGCCCAAAGCAGCATCTTTCAGTGCTTCGATATTCTGCTGGGCATTCAGCACACTGTGGGTGGAGGTGAGTGGCAAATGACAAATAATCATCATCTCATGCTAATGGAATAGTATCTAAAAAGTACTTTCCCATCAGCATCTTATCTGAGCTTATCTGATGCTTTTAGGAGAATAGTAGGGACTTTACTGCAATCATCCCATTTCACAGATGAAGAAGCAGAAACTTAAAGAGGATAATAGCCAGGCTCCCTGTTAACGAGCTAGAAAGCAGTGAAGCCAGAACTTAGACCAAGTTCAACACTGTCTTGATCTTGACCTTTGGACATGTCTATGAGGTCCTGATCGACTGTGGTGAAGCCAATATCACATGTTCTGAAAAGGTAAGACCAGATTCAGAAAAAGAAAGTCTCCTGCAAATGAGACAAGACCATGAGTTGAAACTGGGGAGTGGAGAGGCTTGGCACTGTCTAGTTCCACTGTCCTACTGCCTCGGGGGTCCCGGGGCAATGCCTGCACCAAAGTTTAAAGATGAGCCACACTCATTATATTCCTTCTAGAGGATTAAGGGGGCAGAGGAAGAAGGTCCAGGAAGAACTTCTTTCTACTTTTCTTTGTCTTCCTAAACTTCTACTGAATAGTCAAAGGGGAAAGCTTTGGGCTGCATGATAATACGCTTTTTCCTGAGCTCATTCACTTATTTAAAAAGGATCCCTTGGGCTTCCCTGGTGGCGCAGTGGTCGAGAGTCCGCCTGCCGATGCAGGGGACGCGGCTTCGTGCCCCGGTCCGGGAGGATCCCACGTGCTGCGGAGCGGCTGGGCCCGTGAGCCATGGCCGCTGAGCCTGCGCGTCCGGAGCCTGTGCTGCGCAACGGGAGAGGCCACAGCAGTGAGCGGCCCGCGTACCGCAAAAAAAAAAAAAATGATCCCTTATATTCTCTTGGATTCAGCATCATGATCTGTCAGGCATAGTACATATACTCTGTCCTTCTTAGAAGGATCAAATCCAGTAGGAAAGTGAGCAAAACAAAAATATTATGAGTTTAGTTCGTGTGGTTTTCAGAATTAAGTATATTTTACAATAATTACCTTTACTAGTAGCGAAACTAGTAGGATGCTAACAAGATGGTTGTAAATTCATGGCCACCCGCTCCGACCTCACTCTGCCTTTCTTCCCTGGATTGGAGAATGCTTTGGCCTCCTTACTAATCCATCTTTGTCTTTAGTTCCTTCAGACTCTGCTGCTAAATTCCTCCAGGAAATGAGAACATATATGCCATCAGCTCACCAGAAGTTTCTTCACTTGTTAGAGTCATGCCCCTCGGTCCGTAAGTTTGTCCTTTCAAAAGGTGATGCTACCCTGCAGCAAATTTATAATGAATGTGTGCAAGCTATGGTCTCTCTGAGAAACTACCATTTGCAAATAGTAACAAAGTACATTGTGATTCCTGCAAGCCATGCATCCAACAGAAAACAAACCCCGGAAGAGCCTTCAGAATCAAAAAGTAAGGGAACTGGAGGCACCGATTTCATGGATTTTCTAAAGACTGTAAGAAGTACAACTGTGAATTCCCTGTTGAAGGAAGATTAATGTAATCCAAGAAAGTGCTTATACTGCTACCACATGTGGTAATGTCACTGCCCATTATATCAGAAATAGCATTAACATTCATAACTTGAGGAGAGGAAAATAAAACTAATGTCCAGAAAAAAAAAACTCGGCACATGGGTGTTTATAACAGCTTGATTCATAATTGCCAAAACTTGGAAGCATGAAATAAACCAAGGTACCCATCCTTACAGTAGAATATTATTCAGGGCTAAAAAGAAGTGAGTGGTCAAGCCATGAAAAGACCGGCAGAAACATGACATGCATGTTATTAAGTGAAAGATGTCACTCTGAAAAGGCTACATACAGACTGTGTGATTCCAACTATGTGACATTCTGGAAAAAGGTAAAACCATGGAGGCAGTAAAAGGATCAGTGATTGCCAGGGGTTAGGGCAGAGGGAGTGATGAACAGGAGAAGCACAGAGGATGTTTAGGGCAGTGAAACTATTCTGTATGATAGTATAATGGTGGATACATGCCATACATTTCCCCAAACCCATAGAATGTACACCACCAGAAGTGAACCTTAATGTAAATTGTGAACTTTGGATGCTCATAATGTGTCAATGTAGGTTTATCAGTTGTAACAAGGGTGCCATTGTGGTGTGCAGAGCTGTGCGTGTGTTGGGTAGACGACACACGGGGACTCTGTACTTTCTGTTCAATTTTGCTATGGGCTAAAACTGCTCTAAAAAAAAGTAAGTCTGTTAAAAAGAAAACTGCTCTGTGGCCTTCAATAATTCATTTACCTCTCTCGTCTGTTTTCACACATCTAAAAATAATCAGAGATAAACAGATTAAGATGCTTTCCAGCTATGATTCAATCCTGTATGTGATCTGCAAATTCATCCACAAAAAAAAATCAATTGATAGGCTACATTAATCTATGGAAATTTTAAACAACATGCGTTCAAAAGCAGAATAGCTCTTCTGTTTCTTCCAGATCATAAAGACAATGATTTTGATGTAATAATTATTTTATATATCTATAATTTTTAAAAGTTTACAACGGGTTTTCCCTCAATGGCATTTTTTTCCTGTCTATAACACTGTCGGTAAGTCAGAACAGGAATTATGTTTCTTATTTTTTGCTGGTGGTTTTCTAACATGGTGGAGGCACGGTGAATGAGTAAAGGGCAACACCAGGAAAAATTGTCTTTTGAAGAGAGTGTCGTTTGAAGAGTACACATAACAGGCTGTCTAATTCTCCAAGGATAGTCAAAGCCTCATGGACCCTGGGAAGATCTCTAATGATCATGCCAAAACAACCACTTCCCACCCATATCTATTAGAGACCCACTAGTTTAGGCCATTACCCAAACCACCTGAATGTAGGGAATTCTCTCTCAACTCTGTACCCACAGATTTTTTATTCTCTTTTAGTACATGTCGCTTTTCTCTTATGTAGTGATCATGGCTGTGTGTGTGTGTCTTATTTCACTTGCTAATTTGTCAGTTCCCTGTAGAAAAGATCCATGGCTTTCTCATTTTTACATTACAGCACTTAGCAGTGTACTTAAAATATCATCCGTTAAGAGAAGAAATACATTTGACCCTTGAACAGCTTGGGGGTTGGGGGCACCAACCTTCCCCACAGTGAAAAATCCGCATATAACTTTTGATCAGGCCTCTGTATATGTGATTCCTCAGTATTTGAAATTCACATCCTGGGATTCAACCTTAACCCTAACCCTAATCCTAACCCTAACCGTGGAACACTGTAGCACTGAAGTATTTAATATGGAAAAAAATCCACGTGTAAGTGGACCCATGCAGTCCAAACCCATGTTGACCAAGGATCAGTTGTAGATGAATACTGCGTTGACTCAAGTATTGTTTCATTAACCGGGTTAGACCTAACCCTGTAAGCACCAGAATCTCTGCTCTAATGACTCATTTGTTCAATAACCATTTAATAAGCAAACTTAGGATGCTACCTCCTGAGCTAGATAATAGAAAGACTAAGGGCACCAACCCTACCTTCAAGGAGCTCACTAGTGGAGAAATGGACAGATGGATTGTTTCAACACAATGAAATAAGGGCTCTATAAACATAAGCAGACAGTTTAGCAGTATAGAGTCCCCAACCCAGACTAGAGGGCAGCAGAGGGGGTGGGGCTTTCCATGGACAAAACAGGGAAGGGGAGGGTATTGAAAAAAGTACGTGGTAGGAATAGATTTTCCTAGATGAGGCAATACATGAGATGAGTTTTAAAGGGTGATTAGTGTACAATATGCAAACCAAAGGCTAGAAAATTCCAGGAAGAGGAAGAAGGGTGTTCAAAGGCTAGCAGCTCAACAAGGTCTATCGAGGAAGTACACACAGCTCAATATGGCTGAAGCATGAAAGGATAAAAAGGGCCATGCGACAAAGGAGTTCCAATTTATCCTGAAAACAGAGGGAATGTTTTTAAGCAGAGAAATGACTTTATTATATTTGTCTATTTGAATCATATTTAAATGAAGCATTGCCCATTGTAAAGAAATACACATTTAAATGACTGGTAGTATTTGGGGAAAAAATAGTAGGGGTGGGATAAAATGGGGAGTGATAATGAAGGCAGGGGGATGAGTTTGGAGGCTGTAAAAGGAATCCAAGCCTGCAACGATGGGAAAGTATCATGGGCTTAGATTTGAGGCAAAGAGATCAGTTAAGGATTGGAATATATACTCTTCCAATAGTAAATGGTGAGGAATTGAAAACAATGGCAGTGTCACTGGAGATCATGGAAACATAAGAAATATCATGGCAGTAGGAGTGGCAAGACTGGTGTTCTGTTGGATGTGATAAGGGATGACTTTTAGGTCTCTAACGATCAGCTACGTCAACAGAGTTACTAGGACCAGCCCATGCTGTCAGGTAGGGTCTTGCGTGCAGAAGGGCCCCCACTTGGCTTCATACTCTACTGTCACTGTCTTGAAATTCTGAATAAGTTTGAACAAGGGTCCTTACATTTTTATTCTTCTCTGCGCCCCACAAATTATATTGCCAGTTCTGAAAGATACCATTCGCCAAGACACGGCATCGATGGGGGAGATGAGCTTGGTTCTTATCATCAGAGAATAAGTAATAAGTAAGCCTTGGATTTGTTGCTTGGCAGTGGGCTCTCTGCTCAAGAGCTTGAACTAGTTGCTGGAGGTTTTGTAAGCATTTGCCCTGGTGTTAATGGAAGGTGTCTAGTCTACGACTGATGTGTTAAGGTATTTCTTATGAAGCCTCTACAGAGCAGTTGAGTAAGCATGTCTAGTAGGTGGTAGGAGAGACCCAACTACAAACAAAATGTTGGGAGTCCTTAGCCTAGAGATGATGGCTAAAGTCTTTGGACAGAGGCAATCACCCAGCGAGAGGGAAGTCAGGACCTGAACTAGGGAGGGCACCAATGGTAAACTGTAACCAGAACAATGAGAGAGAAAAACCAGGGAAGGGAAGCCATGCCTCTAATGGCTAAAAGTGATGACTTTCAAGTCAAATGGCTCCAGCCCTGACTCTACCACTTACAAAAAGTGTGACCTTGGGCTCTTACTTAACTTTCCCAAGCTGCAGTTTCCTCAGTTGAATGATGGGGATAATAATAGCACCTAGCTCACAGGACTGTTGTGAACGTTAAGTAAGTTGCTCCATGGAAGATGCTTACCATAGGACTTGGCACAGAGGAAAAAAATCAGCGAGTGTTAAGTATCAGCTTTATCTTGTTAAAGTATAGTGCAACCAGAAGGAATACGTGTCATAGGAAAGGTCAGAAAGAGAGGAGAGTTAAAAAAAAAAGCCAAATGCCAGATGCTTGAACAATTAGAAAGGACTAGAAATTCCCATTGAATTTATGAACAAAGCTGTAATTAATGAGCTGTACCAGATTAACCTCAGCGTACCAGTGCTGTCTGGGCTGATTGCTTTTGACAATTCAGATTTGGGACTTTATCAACTCGAAACTAAAGCTGAGTATATCTGAAATCACACACAGAAAAATTTCCATTGTGAATGTTTTTCTGTCTGTTTTGAATATTTCTTGGTACATTTCCAAAAGGCCCTAATGCCCAGTTTAAGAGATGGGGAACCTTCATTGTATACTGAAACTACAATAATTCATGGGAAAGCTGATTATAGAACCCAGGACTCTGAAATGACAAACCTTACTATTAAGAGAGGAAGTTCTTGGGCACAATTATGTTTACCCAACTTCCTCTTGGTAAATAAGAAAGATGTCAAGCAAAGCTTCATGAGGCCACTGTGTTCCCTACTTCAGAATATGTCTCTGGGACTAGGGCTACAGTGGTGTAACAGAGAACAGCACAAACTTCTACCTGGCATCAAGACACCAAATCCAAAAATGAGATGCTGAGAGACATCATTCCTTTAACCAACAATTTATTGAACTTCAGACGCTGAACTTGCTGATAAAGGAAAATACAAAGTTGCGTTAAATATGGGTTCGTCAAGGAACTTACAATCTAATAGAAAAGATTACAGGGGCTTCCCTGGTGGCGCAGCGGTTAAGAATCTGCCTGCCAATGCAGGGGACATGGGTTTGAGCCCTGGTCCGGGGAGATCCCACACGCCATGGAGCAACTAAGCCCATGCACCACAACTACTGAGCCTGCGCTCTAGAGCCCGCGAGCTACAACTACTGAGCCCGCGTGCCACAACTACTGAAGCCTGTGCTCCTAGGGCCCGTGTTCCGCAACAAGAGAAGCCGCCGCAATGAGAAGCCCGCGCACCACAACGAAGAGCAGGCCCCGCTCCGCCACAACTAGAGAAAAGCCCGCGCGCAACAAAGACCCAACGCAGTCAAAAATCAATCAATCAATCAATAAATTTATATAAAAAAAGAAAAGATTAGATAAATACAGTGTTTGAGTAACAGTCAACCAGGTAGAACTTGAAACACGATGTAAAACAGGTTCAAGGTGATAGAAGAATTTTGCACAGCTAGAGGGTGTTTAGAGGTCAGGTGATGGACATCCTTGAATATCAGGGCAAGGAAATTTGAACTTTATTTAACTTACAGTGAGGAGTTCTTAATGATTTTGTGGCAGAATCTGAGATGTTCACTGACCCACAGGTTCCATGGACCTAGACCTTGGAAGTAAGAAAAGTCAAGGCTGAATATGCAGGCTCGGGTACCTGCGCATAGAATTGATGGTTAAGATCAGGTGGAAATACATAAGAATACTGAGGTGGGGAAATGGCTATAATAATGCTGCAAATATCTATACATTTAGGTCTGAAGTAGGCAAAGGAGTCAGCGACTGAAACAGAAAAGATATATTCAGAATGATAGCGAAGAATATCAGAAAAAATAAGATATTAAAAATGTATTTCCAGAATGAGGGGGAGAGAACATGAGAAGAACCGTATTTACTCTTACCTATTTGATAAGTGCTTTACTTAATGCTCCTCATTTATTCACTGGGATAAACATTACTATTTCCTGTAGATGTGGAAACAGAAGCTTAGAATTTTAAGTCACTTGTTTAAAAAGCCACATAGCTAATAGGAGACAGAGTAGAAATTCACACTCGGGTAGGCCAAGCTGAGTGGGCTGAGTGGAAAGTTCTGGGCTGAGAAGTCCAAATTCTAGTCCAATTCTGACGGTAACACACAGGGTGACATTTGGTAAGTCATTTCACTCCAATAAACTTCAGGATTTTCATATTTACTGAGAGCATTGAACTAGATCACTTATTCTGTCATGCTCTTTTTAGTTTTGGTATTTTGGTGCCACACTCTTATAATGTTACAGTAAATTCTTAAGAGGCTGCATAGGGGATGGATGAAAAATAACAGGACTAGCATAAACAAAGATAACTGTGCCTTCTTTTCACCTGAGATTGAAGGAAAAAACAAGAAGATGATTCAACAAATTAAGTTTGACAAACTGCCTTTAGGAGGGATAAGACACTAATCTTCAAAACTGGTTGGGGGGCTTCCCTGGTGGCACAGTGGTTGAGAGTCCGCCTGCCGATGCAGGGGACACGGGTTCGTGCCCCGGTCTGGGAAGATCCCACATGCCGCGGAGCGGCTGGGCCCGTGAGCCATGGCCGCTGAGCCTGCGCGTCCGGAGCCTGTGCTCCACAAATGGGAGAGGCCACAGCGGTGAGAGGCCCGTGTACCGCAAAAAAAAAAAAAAAAGACTGGTTGGGTACTGGACTAAGAGGAAGTGGATAATTGAGGCTGGCTCTTAGGGTCTAATGAACCATAAATCAATTAGGTGACTTTTGACATACTACCTTCAAAGTTGAATGCTCCATGGGAACAGTTACAGGAGTTATCAGAGCACTTCCTGCTTTAGCTTTTATACTTATCTTAGAGAAAGGGAGGGAGGAGGAGATGTGTATAGACAAATCAGCTTCCAAATAAATTTGATGACAACCTGACGACCTAAGTTCAGGATCCAACTGGGCAAAAGGTAGAGTCTTCGGAATTTTCACGGTGCAGATTTATGGCCTGGAATTTATCAATGAGCTCCATACTGATGTGAATTCAAACCATGATGGCGCCTTTGACAGACAGCCTGGCAACCTGATCGAGTGAACAAAGGAATGGCTTGGAGATCAAGCTACCTCAGCTCTAGTACATAATTAGTGGAGTGACAGTGGACAGGATTATTCATATGCGTATGCCTCAGTTTACTAATCTGTACCTGGTTCATAGGTAAAGTCTCCCATCTTAGTGGTCGGTTCTCAAAAGATGTTTAATAAAAGTAGAAGGTTAAATCAAATGATCTGTTAGGCTTTTCTCAAATTCATTAGTATCATTTGTTAAACTTCACAAAAGTATATATTCTCCTTTAATGTCATGGAAGCTTTCAAAAACAATAATATTTCTTAAGGTAAATCGAAGCAATAATAATCTTTACAATACACTGTTCAAATACGTGCAGAACACTTCTGAGGGTCTGATGTGCATTTAGAGTCCTCATTCCCACTTCACCCATGGCCAATCCACTGAAATATCTGAATGTAACTAACTTCTAGTTTTAATAGTTTACACCTTTGAATTAAAGACCCAGTTGTCAAAGTTTATCAGGGACCAGGTTCCCGTCGGGGTGTCTGGGATCATCCACAGCCAAAACGCTTGTTCGTTTCCCATTTTCTAAAATAGAACAGATTTGTCTCTGGGTTTAAAATCCATCTTCTTATATTCACATATATGAAAAGGAAGGAGTTTCCCCCCCTCCCGAGGTGATTTTGTTTGCCTGTTTGTTTTAATCAGCAGTCTTTAATAATTTACTCAGCCTTATGTCAGAGAAAGTCTATGGCAGTGTGGAATTCAACCTGAGAGCAAGGTTCTCCCCTGTTCCCGAGACAACGGTACAGCTAACTGCGAGGAAGAGATGCGGCTTTGAAGCTCCCTTGCCCTGGGTCTCTGATGTATTTGGAGCAGTTGTCTCTTTAGCAGCAGCCTCTGAGCAGATACTTAAACAAAATTATGGAGCCTCAAAGTCAGAATTTGAAGACAGCACCATCTTTGACTTTAGGAAGATTTCATATTTCTGAAGATTATGGCTTTCTTCTTCCAAATCCTCTGGTAAGGATAGGGTCTTAAAGCAGGTCAGTATAGGTTTCTTGAGATGCTGACTTGGGTGTTTGTTTGTTTAATTGATGTGGTCATTAAGAGAGATGCAATATAAATGCCAAGCCATTGATTTGGGACAGATAATACAAATAAGGCACAGTGTGATTACCAACAAAGGAGAAGTGACCGCTACAGCAGGGGATAGAGCAAATGGAATGTTTTAATGTCAGGTTTTTTTTTTAATGGATTGTCAATCATTCCAGCAAATTCATGAGCAAATGTGCAGTTATCAAAAAAGAAAAAAGAGAGAGAGAGAGAGAGAGAGAGAGAATTTAGATAAAGATCAATTATATGAGCAAATTAGTTTATCTTGACTTGCTAATGGGAGAGAAAAGAGAACACAAGGGACCCTGACTGTGTTCGAGGTTCGTAGGAGTGATTAGATATTCACAGAAATTGCTGAGAAGAGGAAAGAACCTTCGAGGACAAACAGTACCTATTTCTTTTATTTTCTTTAAATTAATTAATTTATTTTTGGCTGCCTTGGGTCTTCGTTGCGGTGCGCGGGCTTCTCATTGTGGTGGCTTCTCTTGTTGCGGAGCACAGGATCTAGGTGCGTGGGCTTCAGTAGTTGTGGCGCACAGGCCCGGTAGTTGTGGTGCATGGGCTTTGTTGCTCCATGGCATGTGGGATCTTCCTGGACCAGGGCTCGAACCCGTGTTCCCTGTGTTGGCAGGCGGATTCTTAACCATTGCGCCACCAGGGAAGCCCCAGTACCTCTTTCTTAATTGTTCTTAAGGCTCAACCTGTAATGCAATTCCTTTTCAACACTTTAATGGTCAGGTCTAAAATGTCAAAACCACAAGAGTCCTTAGAAACCATAGCTGAAGGCCAGAAGTTCTTGCCCAAAGTTATATTACTGGAAAAAGCACAAGTAGTACTCAGGACTCTTGACATCTTTTTTTCTACTACATTCTAAATAAGGGCCAAGCCTACTCAGCTAAGAATATAGGGATCCAAAGTTACAATCACTGCAATCATGCATTAGATCCAGTTTTTCCTTCTAGGCGTCTAATAGGGGGTTTAACTGTGATTAATGAATGATCTGGCATTTAATGAGCTTTTATGGAATACCTTCTTCTGAGTGTGAATAGAAGAATAAAAATGAAGATAGGATCTATTTGCTGATCCCCAAAGCCCTCTGTAGAGCTGTTAGTTGTGAGACCAAGTCACAGATCTGCAAGTAACTTGAGCACTAAAAGTAATGACTCTAGGGTGTTATGCAGAGGAGGGTTGTGGCCCAGAACACTGGACTGTGTTCTCTGACCCTGCCACTAGGGTGATCAAGAATGTCCATTTGCTACAGGCCGAAGGGGATTCCAAGATGCAGGACTTTCCATGGTAAACCAGGAAAGTGCTGGGCAAAACAGAATGATTTAGTCACCCTAAGTTTCACTTACTAACTCTTGTGACCTAGAATGAACCACCAGCATTGCCTGACCCTCAGTTTTCACATGTACTTGGAGAGATTTAGTGCCCCCCCCACCCGCCACTGGATTGCTATGGAGTATGAAAGCACTTCCATAAATCCAGTGGAAGGATAGAAGCTAGTTTGCACAACCCTCAGTCCAGTGCTTATTCAAAATTCCATTCTGTGTGTATGACTTGATTCAGGAATATTTCCGTCATCCCTAGTTCACAAGGAGGAGTCTGTCAACAGGCCAACACTCTCTTATTGGGATTAAATATATACACTGAGCTGAGAAAAATAATATTAAAAGTATGTAAACATTGGGTAGGGTCACCATGATTGTGTTCCTTTCTTTGCTGTTTCCTTTCTTATAAATAAGAAAACCAGACGGGAAACAAGAGGAACATCAAGTGTTTGTGACTTTCTGAGAAAACGCAGGATTCTATCTGCCCTGTGGTTTGGTTGATGGATACTCCTTAGAAGAAATTTCCATTCTGGAGCTCAGAATTTCCTGGCAAACTGGGTCTACTCTCACAGTCATGTGTCAGAGTTCTAAAGAATGCGATTTGTTTGTTTTAATTTTCTCTCACTTGTGGAAGAATTTTAAACATCTCCCTTTCTGGGAAGAGGAAAGGGAAGAGAGTTTACACCAGAATCTGCCTCAGTTTACTCAGCTGATCAGGAGAGAATCTATCACCCGTCATCGGATAACAGTGGTGTCGCAATAGATCACAAATTGTGAAATATGAGCCGCTGCCTTTGCTAAGGGCAGGAGTAGGCTTTGTTTGCCTTTAGGTAAGTGATGGGCCGGCTATTCCTTCATGTCAATGAGCCCAAACATACTCTTTTCAGCAAGCTTGGTTGTTTACCATAAATACTTGAAGCATGTGAGTGTCATCAAGTACCACAGGTAGTAAATATTTTGTTATATTTCAATGATTTTATGGATATTGGACCAATCTGTATGCTATTTCTAATAGCATTTTTATGGCTAAAACTAACAAATATCGGAAACGGTTCTGATTTTTAATAATAACAAAAAAGAAATGAAAACACAGTCAAACTAATGAATAAGCAATCATTCTGGCTTTGGGGGAAGGGTCCGACTTGGTTTCAAGTACTCCATCCCACTGTTTCTATAAACTCTCAAACACCTCCAGGGTCTAATGTTTCAGTGAGGAAAATGTATACCTTTCAGACCTTTGTCCATAAGGAAGCCACAGAAATCCCTTGCCAGATCGTGTGTCTGTTGTGTACGTGTGTTTGGGTTGGTGCGTGGGTGAGGAGTAATTTTTCTTTAGATATAAAGAATGTGAGGAAATTTGCTTGGCAGGAAGGGAGGAACCAAGATAGTTTATAGCAGGAGATTAGATTGGAGTGAGACCAAGGGAACTCAAACGTTAGGCTCAGGAATTTGGATTTCATGCGTCTGGTAAGCAACAATGCCCTGGTGTGTGAATATATTCCTAGCAGAAGGTTAAGTGCAGGGTGGGTTCCAGCAATGGTTCCTGAACTGCACATCAAAATTAGCTGGGAAGCTTAAAAATTACTGATGCCAGAACCCCAGCCAGGAGTTAATTCAGAACCTCTAGCCTAACTAGCTTGGTACTTGAAAACGACAGAATACATAAAGGACAGTGAAGGTCCAGGTGAGGGCTGAGGGGCTACACGTAGGAGGTTGTTTGTGGAAAGAAAGGTGTCAGAACTATGAGAAACAGTGAGAAGAGCTTGGAAGTAGTTTAACTACAAAAACAAAAGAAAGGGAAAAACAAAACAAGAACAAATTGTAAGGGTGCCATGGAGCAGAAGAAAAGGAATCAGGATGCTGGGAACCTTGTTCTGTATAGCGGCCAAGCAACGACTTAGGAAAAATAAAGTCATATGTAATCTCCTGTAGTAATTCAAAGCACTTGAGAGAAGCAGTGGTTTTAATTCAGATTTTCAAAGTATTAGCAAAATTTATTGATAGCATTCTCCTATATTTCATTAAGAATGGAGTTTTTCTTATTTCCTATGGTAACCTTCTTATAATATATAATAAGAGTAGTAATTATTATTTAATAGGTGCTCACTTTGTACTAGGCCTTGTGCTAACTGCACATTTCCCATTTGAGTCTCACAGTGATCTTCACTATTCTCAGGTGACTCATGTGATAATTAAGGAGTTCAGTCCTGTCTCTGAAAACTGTCTTTTAGCTGCCCACCTTACTCTTTTCCACCCTAGTCCAACCCACCACTATTTCTCCCTGGACTATTGCCTTGTAACCCGTCTTCTTATTTCCCCTCTTGCCATAGTATGGTCTCCGCGTGGCAGTCAGAGTGACCCTTTAAAACAAAAATCAAATCACATCACTCCACTTTTTAGAACAAAATCCTATGTTTTAGTGTCGCCTCCAAGGCCCTCTCATGCTGCTTACCCATCTCTTCAAAGTCATCTAATATCTTTCTCCTCTTTAGTTTGCAGCAATGACACACCAGCCTCTTTCCATTGAAACTTGTCTTTTATTTCACTTAAAACCCTCTCCTTCACATTCTACTCTGTCCCATAGTTTACATTCTAATTTTTACGATCATAATATTGTCACCCAACTTTCCTTTGTTGACGTTTGCCCGCTTTAATTTCACTTAAACTTTCATTTTTTAAACTTTCTGTGCTATTTTCTTAACCAGAAGCTGGTTTCATTAACTTAATCAGTGCTAATACAGTTTATTGTTTCTATAAAATACATTATTTTTTTAAAAGTCTGTTCTTTTCTAGATTATAAATGTGTTGAGAAGAATTATCCAAAACAGAGCAAAAGGAGGGCTGAGTTTTATTTAGTACCATCCGGAGCCCTGTCTAACTAAACAGTCTCACCTTAGGATTACTTAATTACCTAAGGGATGCTCCTTTTTTGACATGCTGCTTACTATTGATTAGGACCGAATCTCTGAAGCTGCATATTAACTTGCAGATTTTTGTTCAAAAGAGCTGCCAGTGATTTCCGCTGAGTAGAAAATAAAACCCTAAAGCTTGTGATTGTTCTGCCATATAGGACATTAACCAATTACTGTGTCTTTACCTTAGCAATTTAATTTTCACATTCATTTTTTTCAAAACTCTAAACACTTCAGTTTATCAAGTGCTTTTGAATCAACTGGACCATCCTGCTGATTTCCTCATTAATAAACTAAATATATTTTGGACACACATTCCATATTTGCATGAGTCATTTTTTTTTAACTTTTTGAAAATTGTACTTTGACAGATATAAAAGTGCAGAAAAAGAATAACATAAAATAGGAAACTGAATAAATAGAAAAGAAGACCATAGATTTTATTATTTGTGCCCATCCCACTTCTGGGTCTTCTGATTATTGGAATGAGGAGAAGAAAAACATGTAAAGTTTCTTTCGATTTCTTGTCCCCTTGTACCAACCACCTCCGCAGTCACCATTCTCCATGTGTTTACTCTCAGGAGGTACTGGAAAGTACACTGAACTCTGAGTCAGAAGAGGTTTGACCTGACCACTGACCAGATGTGTAAAGTCGGGAAAGTTA